AAAACCCTGGATTTGCCCCAGGACCTCCCGTGGCCCCCAAATCCCGGCTCAGACTGGGCTCTGCTCCCAGAAAAACTTGGAATCCGCAGCTTTTTGCTCTCCCCTATTTTTCCAAGTATTCCCAAATAATCCCGAGCCGGCAGGGTGGGATTTGTCCCATTCCAGGTTATTTGGGGAGCCATAATCCCGGTTTTTCCCGGAGCTGAGCCGGGCTTAGGGGGTGGGTTTTAGTCCTGCTTAGTTCCTGACTCCCCAAAGGGATTTTTTGGGATGGGGGACGAGCTCCTGGATGCTCCCTGTCATTCCAGATCCACGCCTACAACCTGGAAACCAACACCTGGGAGGAGATTCCCACCAAACCCCACGAGAAAGTCGGTGAGTCCGGGAATTTCCTGGGAAAAACGGGAGCTGGGGAGTCCTGGAGGAGGCAGGTTTTCCTAAAACAGTGTTAAATGAAATGTGGGATCGACGGGAATGGTGAATCCATGGCGGGATAAATCAGGCTGGGATTTAATCCCAGTTTTGGAGTCGTGGCTGGGCTTTGGCAGCCAGGATTAAAACCATGGGAAGGGATTTAAAGCCAGGAGGGGATCCCTGGATCCCTGATCCTGGCCCTGCTCCCAAAAAATTCCAGCTCTGCCTCTGAGTGCTGCCCTGGCCTTTCCCTGGATCCCTGATCCTGCTCCCAAAAAATTCCAGCTCTACCTCTGAGTGCTGCCCTGGCCTTTCCCTGGATCCCTGATCCTGGTCCTGCTCCCAAAAAATTCCAGCTCTACCTCTGAGTGCTGCCCTGGCCTTTCCCTGGATCCCTGACCCTGGATCCCTGATCCTGGAGTCTTGATCCTGGCCCTGCTCCCAAAAAATTCCAGCTCTCCTTCTGAGGCACCGAGTGCTGCCCTGGCCTTTTCTTGGATCCCTGATCCTGCTCCCAAAAAATTCCAGCTCTACCTCTGAGTGCTGCCCTGGCCTTTCCCTGGATCCCTGATCCTGGCCCTGCTCCCAAAAAATTCCAGCTCTCCCTCTGAGTGCTGCCCTGGCCTTTCCTTGGGTCTCTGATCCTGGTTCCCTGATCCTGGCCCTGCTCCCAAAAATTCCAGCTCTGCCTCTGAGTGCTGCCCTGGCCTTTCCCTGGATCCCTGATCCTGCTCCCAAAAATTCCAGCTCTGCCTCTGAGTGCTGCCCTGGCCTTTTCCTGGATCCCTGATCCTGGTCCTGCTCCCAAAAAATTCCAGCTCTCCCTCTGAGGCACCAAGTGCTGCCCTGGCCTTTTCTTGGATCCCTGATCCTGGCCCTGCTCCCAAAAATTTCCAGCTCTGCCTCTGAGTGCTGCCCTGGCCTTTCCCTGGATCCCTGATCCTGCTCCCAAAAAATTCCATCTCTCCCTCTGAGTGCTGCCCTGGCCTTTCCCTGGATCCCTGACCCTGGATCCCTGATCCTGGAGTCTTGATCCTGGCCCTGCTCCCAAAAAATTCCGGCTCTCCTTCTGAGGCACCGAGTCTGCCCTGACCTTTCCTTGGATCCCTGATCCTGACCCTGCTCCCAGAAAACCCCAGCTCTCCCTTTGAGTGCTGCCTTGGCCTTTCCTTGGATCCCTGATCCTGCTCCCAAAAATTCCAGCTCTGCCTCTGAGTGCTACCCTGGCCTTTCCCTGGATCCCTGATCCTGGCCCTGCTCCCAAAAAATTCCAGCTCTCCCTCTCAGTGCTGCCCTGGCCTTTCCTTGGATCCCTGTTCCTGCTCCCCAAAAATTCCAGCTCTCCCTCTTGTGTGCTGCCATGGCCTTTCCCTGGATCCCTGATCCTGCTCCCAAAAAATTCCAGCTCTCCCTCTGAGTGCTGCCCTGGCCCTGATCCTGGATCCTTGATCCTGTTCCCAAAAAATTCCAGTTCTCCCTCTAAGTGCTGCCCTGGCCTTTCCCTGGATCCCTGATCCTGGATCCCTGATCCTGGCCCTGCTCCCAAAAATTCCAGCTCTACCTCTGAGTGCTGCCCTGGCCTTTCCCTGGATCCTCAGAGCTGCTTTTCCAAGCCCTGGGTGGGAGCTGGGACAACATTCCAGCCCCTTTCTCCCTTCCCTGGAGAGGAACTTTTACACCTGTGGCTGCAGGAAAGCACAAAATCCCTGGAAAAAAAATCCCACCCAGGAGCCCGGGCTGAAGCGCTGGGGCAGAATTCCCGCTTCCCTGGGGACTTCAAACAGACTGGAATTGCTTTTATTGATTCCTTTTTTCATTTATTTCTTCATTCCCAGGTTTTCCAGCTGCCAGAAGGTGCCACAGCTGCGTCCAGATAAAAAATGGTGAGATTTGGCCTCTGGAAAACCACTGGATCTGGGATAACCAGGCACTGGGGAGCTGGGAAAGCTGCAGGGAATGTGTGGCTTTCCTGGAAGGGGTTTTTTCCCTAATTCCCAGGCTTTGAGCAGTCCCAACGTTGATCCTTCTTTTTTCCAAGCTCCTCAGGCTGAGGACTGAATTCCCTGTGTTCCAGGAGGGAATTCCCAGGAGGGAAATGATCCCAGTGCCCTGCAGGCAGCGGGAATTCGCTGCCTCGGGGTCGAGAACTTGGGAAAAGCTGGGAATGAGGAGGGATCAGGAGCTGGGGCTGCTCCCTGGGGGTTTGAAATCCAGGCTGGGAGAGCTGGGAATGTTCCCCGGGAGAGCTGGGAATGTTCCCCTGGAGAAGGGAAGGCTCCAGGAAAATCTTGGAGCCCCTTGCAGGGCCTAAAGGGGCTCCAGGAGAGCTGGAGAGGGACTGGGGACAAGGGATGGAGGGACAGGACACAGGGAATGGCTTCCCAGTGCCAGAGGGCAGGGA